TACCCAATGTACTGTATTTAGTACCTCCCATCCTATTCCAACTGCTATATGAAAATTCTCTGTAAAAATGTATCTGCACTTTGTACTCCTAAGAACAACCACTTTCTGGAGGTGGCTCCAGCATTCTATAAATTAGGTGAGTCAATCTGATTACTGTCCCCATTAAATTTACAATGCCTTCTTTAAAATTCAACCCTGATCATATTTATAGCTTAATTCTCAGAAATGTCCAAACCAAGAAGATGTTTATCTTGTTTTATAATCTGAAAGAGGATTAATAACAGGGATTGGAAAGGTGACCTTTCAAGGGTTGGCTACATGTATTTTTTTGGATGTCTGCCCAAGCTTAGTATTTTTTATGTGATGTATTGGCGGAAATGATGATATATGGCATCGTTGGGGTATATGCTGTCTATATGAAGGCGTTCTCATGATGGAACAGGTTTGTAAAATGTTATTGGCATTGCATTAATTTTGAAAATCTTTGCAGAGTAAAGTTTTTTTGGACCATGTTAAGCCAGCATACTAAAATGTGCATTTTATGACGATGCATTTACATCTGGGAGTCTGCAGAACATTTGGTTAAACTTCATGTCTACTTCTTTTAAATGACAATCCTATGTGGATGTATGATAGGGTCTTCCTCAGTCCCATCCATTTGTAGACAGTGTGAAGACCTTCATTCCACTAATGGTTTGTGTAGGTATAGCTGAATGTAGGACTTACAATATCCGTTTCAGAAGCAGAGGGACCCACATTTGTAATCTGCAAAATATGCAAGTTAGGATGGCCGCACACGTCGCTGGAAATGCCAGTTCTATCTGTGAACAGCGTATGGAGCTAAGTGTACCAACCTGACGTGGTGTTACCTTTTCTATTTGAAATTTGCAATGACTTATTCCAGAAAACAGTAGCCATAAGAGTTCTCAGAAATGGTATGGAGCCTGGAAGTTGAAGGTGGGCCTATTGGAGCTATTGATGCAATTTAAACATAAAAAATCTGTGAGGATAACACAAATCCATCACTGTATTATTGAAACAGTTCTGCACTCAAAAAGAATACTTTCCCCCATTGTACGCATATTTACCCCCCCCCCCCCCCCAGGGAGGTTTATTCACTTTTTCTTTTATCCAACCTTCCCCTCCCTCCATTCTAGGTGAGACTGACATGTTTCTTCTCCGAAGCCTCATGGGATATATGACACATATCCTATGAGGGATCGACTTCCACACTAAGGCCCATTCATATCTGACCATTTTGTAGCCCAAAGCTTGAAGCTCCAAAACGCTCAGGGAGAAAAAAATCAATATTACTCTATGAAGATGGTTCACATCTTCACTCCAAGTCGCCTGAAGCAGAACACCTGAATCTCAAAAACATTTTGTAGCTACTTTTGGAGCTCCATTTGTGCAGATTGATGTGTTTTTGGCGCGTTTTCATTCCTATAGAAATTCATGTAAACGCACAAATTGCTCGTTTTTATGTGCTATTGTGTGTTTTGTTGCACGACCAATAATCTTTTTTTCTGGCATGGCAAAACACTGCAACAATTGATGTCACAGATGAAAGTTTTCTCAATTGGCTAATACAAAAATGGCAGAACTCAAAAAGCTCAAAAACACCTGAACAAATTGTGCACAAACGTTTGCACAAAAATTCTACGTTTGGGTGTGAATGGGGCCTAACATTTACAGTATGTCATAATATGAACATTTTATAAGGTTTGTTATTATTGCTACTACAACTGGTTTTACCAACTACTACACCACTTATTTCAGCACTTGCTTGCTGTGATGGTGGGAGGAATTTACACCAAGGCCTGAGATTTGAGACGCTGAAAAAGTCTGGGAAGCTACTGAGGACACGGCATTAAGCTGGAAAACTAATGTTAAAAGCTACTTCCCTACACTGATGCCCCTATCCATCCTCTAACAATTTCTGTTCACAACTCTGGTTCCTAGTAGTGTACTGGTTGTGATGATCGCAGTGTCAGACCCCAGACCTTCTCACCAAACTCGTGACCGAAGGACTAGCCAATCTAAAACCGCAATGTCACGTGCGTAACAATGCCACACCCAGCTGCAACCTGCACACCGATTTTCCAGCTAATAGGACCACAATCAAGGTACCTGCAGCCTGGGAGCATTTGTTACTGGGTCAGGTTAATTACGCAATTAACCCTTCACACTGCCACCACCTCCTTTTTGTACAGAGAAAGAGGAAACTCAGCAATACACTAGGATGATTGATTAATCATCGGTATACCGCTATCTCCACAAACAGGTTATACAGAGTGTTAAACACTCATGGTAGCACTCTTCAGCAGCAGGGATTCGTAAGTCACATTAAAGGGCTATAGAAACAGTTCAACACTTTCCGAAAATAAGATTTATTACTAAAAGGTCAAAAGGTTGCAGTAGAAATATTTACAGAAAAAAGATATAACCAATATATATATATATATATATATATATATATATATATATAAAATATACAGAGAATAACAGATAACAGAAAGAAGTTTAGGTAAATAAGTACTTACCAAATAGATGCTTGGGGTTAAGCAGTTTCAAGGCTGATGAGCTAAAAAGGATGCTTTCTGTGTCTCGACTGCTAGTTTCATTGGTTCATTGCAGGAGACTCTGCTTCTCTCACTCTGCGAGATGTTAAACGCAGAGGGTCCTCACTTCTCTGTCTACACACAAAACATAACAGCCTCTTTTCTACTCAAAATCAACGGGGTGTCTCTTACAACAGACCCCAATTGCCTTATTTAGTCAAAGGATTGTTAGGCAGGGGGCTCAGCATCATACACTGATTGCATTCCTGAGGGAGGGGGAAAGGAGGGGATAACATTAAGACTTCTAAACACAGTGAGGGCCGTGCCTGGCTGTTGTATGCATGATTGCTACACCTCCCCCCTCAGGTGATGGCATATGAGTTTAAGAGAAATACCAAAATGCAGAAGTTTGGAGTAGAATGGAGAACCGTGCCTCTCCCTGTGTGCATGATTGTGACACTGGTTATGTAGTATACTTATGTTAAAATCAATGGCAGTAGGAAAATTGCTGGGGGTCCCCATCAAAATTTGCTATGGGGCCCCATGCTCTGTAACACTTATACCCTTGTGGAGTTCTGTGGAATATGGTATCCCTAAATACAAGGCAGTGGCTAGGTGAAAGAGGTGAAGACTTTCAGGTTACACAACACTGAGGCCTCTACCTGCCCCCATGCCAGAGCTGGGTACGTGTGATGCTCCCTCATACTCAGAAGTATCCAAGTATCCGGTATGGCAGTGTCAGATCAATAGAACAGTGTGGGAGCAAAAGGAAGGTGATTGGGTGAACAACACACAGGTTCACTTTAGGGTGCCTGTGGATCTGAAGTTGGCACTCCATAACTGTGAATGTTTAGGCCGCATACTCTATATGTAAGCTCATTATGTACTTTCTAAGGTAAGGGTTATTCTATTTCTTCTCTGAGGAAAATTGCATAAACATTTGGTATTGATGGCTTTTGGTCCAGTTCTCCAGATGATTTAAAGTGTGTGTACAGCTACAAATTACCTGTAGTGTATTATAGTTGATTCTTCGTAGGATGGAGTACCACTAAGGAGAGAAAGGACGTTTGATTTTTCTGGTTTGGATTATGTCTTTTTCTTATGTCATCAAATTTGTTGATTTTGCAATAAAATATTGCAGGAAAAAACAGCACTTTTACAGAAAACATTTTATAACAGTGGTCCTCAAACAGTGGCCCATGAGTCATGTGTGGTTCCTTGCTTGCCCTTTACTGGCTCGTGGGGCAATATTCCCCCTAATTGCAAAACCATCGGGCACCATGCCTCCACTTACACCAATTATGGGGCTCTGTTCTTCCTACTAATACCAACAGTGGAGCAGTATGCCTCCCACTGACACCAATGATGGGGCACTGTTCCTCCCACTAAAATCAATGGTGGGGCACTCTTCCTTCCATTGACATCAGTGATGGCTGTAGCCAATAAGGGGGCATCAATTATCCCATCAACACCAATGCTGGGTACTATTCCTCCCACTGACACCAACAACAGGGCACTGTTCCTCCCATTGACACCAATAATGGGGCACTATTCCTCCCACTGACACCACAATGGACACTGTTCCTTCCACTGACACCAACAATGGGGCACTGTTCCTCCCACTGACACCAATGATAGCTGAAACCAATGAGGGAGCCCCAATTCTCCAATCAACACCAATGCTGGGCACTATTCCTTCCACTGATGCCAATGAGGCTCTATTCCTTCCATTGATACCAATGATGGGGCACTATTCCTCTCACTGACTCCAATTATTGGGCGCTATTGCTTCCACTGACACCAATAATGTGCCACTATTCTTCCCACTGATGCCAATGATGGGACTCTATTCTTCCCACTGACACCAATGATGAGGTACCATTTTTCATACTGACGCCAATGATGGGGCACTATTCCTCTCACCAGGGGCGGACTGACCATTTGGAAACTCGGGCACTGCCCGAGGGCCCAGGGTCAGTAGGGGGCCCCATGAGATGCCCTTGGTACCTTTTTCATAGGCTTTTTTGAGTTTGGGCAAGGACACAGGGGCCCCATGATCCCCTATTGCCCAGGGGCCCCATGAGTTGTCAGTCCGCCCCTGCATCTCTCACTGACACCAACAATGGGGCACCATTCCTCCCAGTGATACCAACAATGGGACATTCTTCCTCCTGCTGACACCAATTTTGGGGCACTATTTCAGCTGCTGACAGCAACAATGGTGATTATTCTCACTGACCACTGATCCCAGGACCATTTTTTACTCCCACTGGCTATAGTCTGCCCCCCCCCCCCCCAAGTTTGAGAGACTATTAACTGACCCTTTATAAAGTTTAGGAACCACTATTTTATAGCCTATTAAACCTAATGCACATGTTGAAATAATGTAGATGTCCAAAGAACACAGCTTGATGTTCCCTCTATTTATTTATTTTCTTACAGATAATAAATTCTTTGGTCCTGCTTATACTGTTGAGTGCCCTCGCTGATCCAGACCTCTATCACCTTCCAAGCAATGACTTGAGGAATGAATTTTACTATATGGATGAAGCCAGTAAGTATATAAAGATTATTTTAACAAAGACAACTAGCCACTTTTTTGTACTTGTACAACTAAATATCACAGATTTTGCACAATTTGTCTACAAAACTCCAATGTCATCAGCTTCATCTAGTGGCCAAAATGCAGTATAGTTTTCTCATGGAGATATTTCAGAAACGTATACCACATATTGGCCACGAGATGGAGCTGGTGATACAGGCATTAAACTTAGAAAAATTACGGTGACATTTCATTCAGCTTGCATGAACGCTTCTGATATTCATGCAACAAATGTTTTATGAATAGACCCCCAATTCTCTCTACTGCCATTTTAAAACTAAGTTAATTGGAAGGGTTTCTTGACAATGCACCAAATAGCAAAACAATCATTTTTATTCTTTTTTTTTTTTTTTGCTGCCAGTGTTGTCATTTGGAGATCTTCCCATTATTTTGTGCTCTGATACCCGTTAACTAGACAGGAAGTTTGGAGTTTTTACCATGTTTTTTGTTCTGTTTGACACAAATCAAATAGACAGAAAGTCAGGAGATCAGGAGAAGTCTCCCAAATGGGGACACAGACAGCAATATAACATGGACAGAGGTTGTAGCCCTTCCACACCTTATAAAAATGCAGGCAGGTGTTCAGCTTTAAAGGATTATTATATTATTATACAGGACTTATATAGCGCCGACAGTTTGCTCAGCGCTTTACATTATGGAGGGAGACAGTACAGTAACAATACAGTTCAATACAAGAGGGATTAGAGGGCCCTGCTCCTTGGAGCTTACAATCTAGGAGGGAGGGGATAGTAGTACAAGAGGTAATAACTGTGGGGGATGGAGTGGTTGGGGGTAGGGGATTCCAGTAGTTAGCTGGGGTCGGGGTAGGCTTCCCTGAAGAGATGAGTTTTCAGTGTGTGCCTAAAAGTGACCAGAGTAGACGATAGCCTGATAGCTTGGGGTAGGGAGTTCCAGAGGATGGGTGAAGCCCGTAAGAAATCCTGGAGACGAGCATGGGAGGAGGAGACAAGGGAGCTAGAGAGTAGGAGGTCTTTCGAGGAGCGGAGAGTACGGTTTGGGTGGTATTTAGAGACAAGGTTGAAGGTGTAGTTAGGGGCAGTGTTATGAACGGCTTTAAACGTCAGTGTTAGTGTTTTGAATTTTATCCGTTGGGCAATTGGAAGCCAGTGGAGAGATTGGCAGAGAGGGATGGCAGATACAGAGCGGTTAGTAAGGTGAATGAGTCTGGCAGCAGCATTCATGATGGACTGGAGTGGGGATAGCCTGCAGTGAGGTAGGCCAGTAAGGAGGGAGTTACATTAGTTGAGGCGTGATATAATAAGGGAGTGAATGAGTTGCTTAGTGGTTTCCGATTTTAGGAACGGTCGTATCTTGGAGATATTGCGGAGGTGAAGTCTACATGAGGATAGGATCACTTTGATAATAAAAGTCTCTATCCTACCCTAATCTGTGCTAATTCCCACCCACTCACCCGGTGTGTACTTACCTCTTTAGGATGGCAGTGTCTTTCTGTGTTGGTTACAGCCACAGTGCAGAAATCTTTTCCAATATTGCCTGCACTTGTTGAGTAGACACCATGGTGGGGGGATTTAGCTTAGAATAGACTAGGCAACTGGGGGTGAATTTTATTTAGGGCCCTTTCACACTGATCAATTTTTCAGTTTAAAAAACAGAAGAAAACTCCATCCCTTTAAATCCTATGGAACTCTTCTCACCACTCAGTTGTGTTTCAGGTGCGTTCTAGCATGCTGCATTTTTTGTGCATGTTAAAAAAAACCTCCAAAAACCCACCTCCTTATTGAAATGAATGGAAAACATGTAAAAAAAAAGCAACAGAAATGCATCAAAAACACACTGTATTTGCATTTTTGGTGCCTTTCTTGAGTGACGTCCATTTTTCACAGGTACGGGCAACCACAAAATACACCAGAAATGCATAAAACAAATATGAAAGCAGCCTTAATGTTAATGTTCTAAAGCAAACATGTAATGTGTTCTATTGTATACCATTTAGCCAACAAATTTGTATTTAATTTTCCCAAGAGTATACACAACAAATCCTGGCAAAAGCTGGGAAAATAATGCATGCTAACAATATTAAGCTACACGCTACAATATACATTAAGGCCTCATGCACAGTGGGTGTTTTAAAAACGCAGGTGGCGTCAGCTGTATGAAGCTGCATCAAAAACACAAGTTTTATAAAAAAAAATTTGCGTTTTTGCATTAGCATTTAGCTGTGTTCTTCTGCGTAAGTGTTTTTTACACAAAAAAAATTTAATAAAATGTTGTCTCAAAAATGCTCAAAAAAGCCGGTTTGACACATTTCACAGTGCTTACCAGCATTAGAGCATTTTTACAGCTAAAAATGTCTTTTGAAACCCACTAGTTCTGTTTTTTTTTTTTTCCAGCCAGAAAACACCCCTGCCAAAAAATGCATATTAAAGCCTATGTGTGTATAGACACATAGAATAACATGCTTGGGAGTTTATTGTCTATAGATAAAAATGCCAGAAGCCAAAAACAGCAGCTGTAAAAATTCCCAGTGTGCATGTAGCCTTAAACGTGCATAACTATGGCCATTTTCACATGAAGAAATGTGAATAAAGCCTCAAACAAGTAAAGCTGTATGACTGTCTGTACAAAAGAAATGCAAAATGTGTTACAACATCCCCAACATTTAGACATGATATGTTGTCTGAAAATGCACATATTTCTCAGATAGGATCATACACACCTGCTTGCAGTTTTGTGTAAATATCACAAGTCATCCCCTATGAAAATGTCCACATCAATCAAATCTTTCTGTCAGTTTTCATTCTGTAACCAGAGGGTGAAGAATAGCAGCTACAGATGTTTGATTGCCATAGGAAACATCTTCATTTAGTCTTCTCATTATTTTTTTCTAACTGAGTGCCTGGAATGTACATATTCAACATCTCATGAAAGTGGTTAGTTTCTATTGAAAATAATTATTACATAATGATATAGTTCATTAGTATTTATAACTGTTTAACTCTTATATCTAGAGAACGTTAAATTTGCCAGTTGGCTACCCATTTGTATTTTCTTATGTCACCTTCTTCCCTTGATCAGTTAATTGGTGTCACTCTTTGGCTATCTAAACACATAGATTTCTCTTTTTCAGCCTGTGGGCTTAACAAAAGAAATCTGAGTCCTCCATCTACTTCATACAGCGTGGATGGAGAAATCTCCTCTGTTGCCTATTGTATACCTGGCAGTATTGTATTGGACGCAGTCACTGTTTGGCCTTCCAGTTTTCCACCTGGCTTCTTCAATTTTTCAGTTGAAGTCTATCAAGCTGACAAGGCCACCCACGGCTCAAATTTCATCCAATTTAACATGAATCTGACCAAATTCAAGCAATGTATGGCAGACTTTAGTTTAGACCTGATATGTATGATATCTGCCCTGTAGTCTCCCATCTAAACATCTCTGCCTCTACAGCTGGACATGTGCAGTTTGTTTCGTTCCGAATCAAAATTCGACCAAATTTTCCGTTATTCGAAGATTAAGATGTATCCGAATTCCAAAAATTACAATAGTAACGAATGTAAACAAATCTGAAATAACAAAATGAAATTCAGCTGAAATTCGAATCAATTTGAATTTGAAAATACATTCGAAAACTAATTCAAATTCAAAAACAAATTCGAAAACCAATTTGAATTTGAAAACAAGACTAGAATAAAATACAACAGAAATTAAATAAATAGAAAAGAATAGATAGAACAGAAAATAAAAGAATAGCATAGAATTGAATAGAAAAGAATAGAGGAAAAAAGAACAAAATAGAAAATAAAAGAATAGAACAGAATACAGTAGAAAATAATAGCGAAAAACAGAACAAAATAGAATAGAAAATAATAGAATACATTAGAATAGAATAGAAAAGACTGGAATAAAAAATCAAAGAAGAGAATAGAAATGAATACAAAAGATTAGAATAGAAAATCAAAGAATAGAACAGAAAAGACTAGAATCAATTAGAATAGAATATAAAAGATTAGAATAGAAGATCAAATAATAGAATAAAAATAATAGAGTAAAACAGAGCAAAATAGAACAGAAAATAAAGGGATAGAATAGAATATAAAAGATTAGAATGGAATGGAAAAGATTAGAACAGAGAATCAAAGAATAGAACAGTATAGAGGAACAATAGAATAGAATGAAAAGGAATATAACTGTCTTCTGAAATTCGAATTTGGAATAAAATGATTTTGAATTCGAACAGAATACATTAGAATAGAATATAAAATAATAGAAAAGAATAGATTAGAAAAGGCTAAAATACTTTACAAAACATTATGAGCTGTGCTATGGTGATGTGAGTAGTGATCAACAAAGGCACTGTGCAAATTTTGCTGAGCTAGAAATATCCAGTATGGTCACGCAACTCTTCATATAGCCCATATACCATCAAAAACACATATGCATTTGGTCGAATTCAAATAAATTAAATGAATTCCGAAAAACGAATTAAAAGAATTCGATTAACTAATCGAACAAAACTAAATTAGTCAAATAATGAAACGAAACAAAACAAAATGTTTTTTTCATTTTACAAATGTCTACTCCCAGCACATGTGGAAACCATGTGCAATATAATCAAGCCTATTTAGTCTAGGGCAACCATTCTCAACCAGTTCAGTGGAAGCCTAGGGTTCCTCCAGACGTAGCTAGGGGTTCTGTGAGCTGTGGAGTTGACTGACCTCTCATTTGATGGTGCCTGCATAGTTCTAGAGCTGATGCTACTTGGCAAAACCATGTACTTGAACAGGAAACAAAGGCGCATGTACCCACACACCAATGGCCACCAGGAGGATCAATACCTAAACTTTATTAGGATTTGAATAAATAGTAGGACCAGGGGTGGACTGGCAACTCATTGGGCCCCTGGGCAATAGGGGATCATGGGGCCCCTGTGTCCTTGCCCAAACTCAAAAAAGCCTATGAAAAAGGTACCAGGGGCATCTCATGGGGCCCCCTACTGACCCTGAGCCCTCAGGCAGTGCCCGAGTTTCCAAATGGTCAGTCCACCCCTGAGTAGGACTGTTGTGTGTGTTTTTTTTACATACTATTAGGATGGAGACTAAAAAACATTCACATTCTCCAAAGAGCAAACAGGAGATAAAACTGTCTATCACAATTTCTCCTGTCCACACCTAAGATGCCATGGAGGAGAGGTTCAATCAAAAAATGGAAGATATGTGAAAGCCCTCTACTAAAGTAGATATATTCTCCATTGGTAGACTGGACAAAATATAAAGTATACTTCCTGGCCTTAAAATATATATATATAAGTATATAGCGCCACCTCTCTACAGTTGTGCGACATGAGAATGCTAGTCCCTGTGGTGGTAAATTAATAACAACCATGCCACTGTTTGGCCAGCCCCACAAAAGACGTGTCAATTACTGCAGAAGAGGTGCATACAAAACATGCATGTGAGGGGGGGGAAGCTGACGGAGTGGTCAGTATGACAATCCGCTCAACTATTAGCCCTCCCCCTCGCTATTTCAACATAAAACCAAGAAGATAAACTAAGAATCTCTAAAGAAAACCTCCATTACTGACCAAGAAATAAATTAGAATTATATATCTCCATCCTACTGAACCATGTGTGTACCCCAAAAAACAAAGAAAATAAAAAGTGCAAAACCTAATTCAACATGTTTCGCTCAATTGGAAGAGCTTCGTCAAGAGTGAACATAATAATATAATAAATCTAACTGTGCACCCAGCCAAAGTTAAAGAAACAAACATAAAAGCGCATGGTGGAAAATGGCTGTCCATTGGTGGCCCCCTCTATTTATACCATGTGTACACAAAACGTACTTGGCAAAACCAGTAGCATAATGCCAATGATCTTTTTAGTGGTCTGTAAGGATGGAATTCTCACCAACGCTGTAAAGTTGCATTCTTCCTGCTGACTAATGTAAGAGGAATTTTTCCCATTGACCCCCGATGAATTGGATTTATTAAGGGTTCTCTGAGACCTGAGATTTTTTAGGGGTTTCTCTGGGGTAAAGTGGTTGAGAAAGGCTGCTAACACTCTCTGATATCTAGTATGCAAAGTACTTTGGGATGTTAATACAGAGATCCTTTTTAGTAATTATGCTAGTAAAAGTTAATATACAATTATGGATTGCCTAAATAGAATGTTGAACCAAGTGATGGGATTTTTTATTTGCCTGCAGTTCCACTTAAAACAATAAACTATCCTAAAGTAGCTTTTTACTGCCATCTTCCAGTAGCTGAGAGATGCAGAGCGGCAAGGTATGGTGTGAGTCACATGACTTATACAATGTCTACGTTTCTATATTGCCGTAAAATTTGACCCAAACAAATTTAGTCATCTAGGCAGTAGTTTTTGTTGTTTTTTTTTTTTTATCCTTGTTATCTGTCTGACCTGTTTTTTTCCTTTTTTTATTTAGATATGTGCATTGCTACTTCAGTATCACTCCTAATGATTTTAATCTGTGCAATGGCAACATATGGTGCCTACAAGGTAAGCATTACTAATATTCTGTAGCAGCGCCAACTGGTTTGAGGGAAAGCAAAATGTGCTATAAACAAATTACTTGTTTTAGTTTGTTCCATATTATTATAAATCAGCGTAGCACCCTCCTAGATAGATGCTAAGTTAGGTAAATTAAGTTCTTGGCTCACTGTAATCAGTGTAGCTTCATGTGATTAATTTAGTCTGTTCTGTGTTTCATTAGCTGCAGGTTGACTGTTTCCCCCCTCTGTCTGTAAATGCTCTGGAAGATAGATGACAAGGAAAGTCAAATCAGCAGCTGCATATTTATGCAGTCCTGGCCAATCCCTAGGGAGAGTTGTCCAAACGGTAGCTGGGAGTATATATGAGACCTGGAACAGAGAGGTCTTTGTCCCTGAGAAGCAGATCATAGCCTGAGGTGGAAGGACTGTTTGCCCCTTGGGCAAGCCCACCATGTGTCTCTGACTCACTGAGGTGCAAGCTAGGATAGCTGGGGAGCCTATTTTGATGAAAGTTGCTGGGGCTGATTGAGGACCTTTCGTCTGATGATCTAGTCTGGTATCACTGAAAAGTGTCTGGAAGATATTGGAAGGAGGCAACCAATTATCCAAAGATATTAGTGATTATAGGCAGATTTGAGAGACCCTTGATACTGTATGATGCTGCCATCCTTCTTGTACTAGAGTCAGTTTTTTTTCAAAGGGGACATTGTGTCTGATGTCCTGAAGAGCTCAGTCCACTATTAGCTGCAAGCAAGGACTTTTGCTCATATTATTGCTGTTGCTAAATCTCTTGCTATAGAGTTCATTCTACCTAAAATGGAAATCACTACCAAAGTTTTCCTGAAAAGCTTGGTCCAATATTTGCTGCAAGCAAGGACCCTCGCTCACCTTACTAAGAGAAATGTCCTCAGATTGCTATTAAGAGTTACTGGAGCAGGGGCAGACTGACATATCATGGGGCCCCCCGGCAATAGGGGATCATGGGGCCCCTGAGTCCTCACCCACACTCAAACCACACCCAAAAAGCCTATATGAAAGGTACAAGGGACATCTCATGGGGCAGCTTACTGACCCTGGGCCCTCGGGCAGTGCCTGAGTTCCCCAATGGTCAGTCCGCCCCTGTACTGGAGTATTCCACAGTTACCCTGAACCTAGTCAAGTTCAAGTTCTGCAAAAAAGCATCAGAAAAGCATACCCCTCTGTATTCCCACTGAGGGCATTTTTTGTTACTGTCTTGATGGCTGTACCAATTGTTTAAACTCATTACAAAATAATTTTACAAAAAAAAAGAAAAGTATACCCCTAAGTATACTCCATTGAGCCAAAGGAGTGGCCGTGACTGTGTTTCTGGCTGTGGGGAAGCTCTGAGAAAAGACATAAGGGACCTTAGAACTGCGGCTGCTACAGGTGTAGTACTAAATCAGTACACTATTTACATATGATGGTTAACTGTAGCTAGTTAAATATTTCAGAAGCAATTCTGATTTGGCTTTATATCTATCATGCTGAAACTTACCTGTCTGAAAAGCTATTGAACACCTTTGGTCTTCAGTCACACACTAGTTCTGGAGAAGTGAATCAAAAGGGCCAACTTCACTGAGACTGATAGCAACACTCTTAAAGGATACCTAAACCCAAGAACAAAATTTTATACATTGCAGCGTACAGTACTTAGGTGCGATGGCTGCATTTGTTTTTCCAAGCCATAACATTTCTTAGCAATTTAGAAAATACCTGTTGGATGTGCCAGAAAAGCAATGTCACTTCCTGTGAGCTGCACCAAATAATATCTCCCATTCTAGCTATCTTCTATAAGCTACTGACTGCTCTGCCCCCTATGTAATGGAGATGAAGATATACGGACATGTTTGTAGTCTACATCAGGGCAACAGCCTAGGGTGACAGCCATGGCTCCTTCCATGAGGGAAAAACTAAAATGAATGCAGTCACCAAACCAAAGACTAGTAAGCTGAAATATATTACATTTTTGGTGTTGGGTCTAACTACACTCTAAACTGTAGAAAGACAGAATTGCTCAAGTCAGGGGCTTTCCTCCAAGATAACAATTTAAATGACAAAGTCCCTTTAAAGGAAACCTGTATTGATAGAATTGTGGGGCTGCCACTGGTGACTTTCTAAAAATACCACTTGCCTTTCTATCCCAGGTCTTAGTACTTTGGGTCTTTTTCCCATAACAATCATGTTAAACCAGAACCCATGATCTGTTATTATGGTCTGGGTCATGACACTTGCATTTTCAAAGTAGAATTCAGCAACAGCAGCCTACTTATTTTCTTAGTACTGATGTCTTTTGTGCTGGGTAAACATAAATCTGAATTCCAGGCAGATATACATGTGCTGACAAGTTACATGCTGATAGGGGGAGAAAGTAGAGTGATTAGAGCAGTGGTCTCCAAACTGTGGCCCTTTGCTTGCTTTTATCTGGCCCTCGAGGCACTATTTCATCCACTGATACCAACAATGGTCCATTATTCCTCCCTACTGACACCAATGAAGAGGCACAATTCCTCCAAATGACACTAGTGTTGGGGCACAATTCTTCCCAATGACACCAACAATTGGGCCCATTGACACCAACAATGGTGCCAAATTCCTTCCACTGACACCAAATATGGGGCATTTTTTCCCACTGATGTCGGGACCTTTTCTGCTCCCAACTGCCACAGTTTGGCCCCTCTAAGGTCTGAAGGACAGTAAACTGGCCCTTTGTTTAGAAAGTTTGGAGACCCCTGGATTAGAGAGATGACCTCATCAGTCTCTTGCTGTTTTCTCACTGCCCAGTTAGCAGGTTGGGACAAAGTGTGAATACCACTGAATTTCACTTACAGTCTAATCCTGTAAAAAAAAGAAAGCAGTGTCATCCACTCAGTTGTAAATCTCAGGAATAAATGGAAATAAATATGAATTTGGCAGGTAAAACAGCTCTTATATATGTATTTTATTTCTGTATTTAAACACTTCTCTGGAGTTCAGCTTTAATTATGTTAAAAGTATATTTGATTTCTAATATCGCTAAGTCATCTGCAGTTTTGCACTTGATAATAAAAAACGGCATTTGATGCAGAATAATTAACTTTTTCAGACTTTTTTAAGCTAACTTTTTTCTTTTATTTCTCTCTCCTTAGCAACATGCTGCTTGGATTATCCCATTTTTTTGCTACCAGATTTTTGACTTTGCTCTGAACTCCCTGGTTGCTGTCAGTGTGCTTGTTTATCCCAACACAATTCAGGACTATCTGCAGCAGCTGGTAAGAAAAAATATAACTTTGTTCTTAGCTCCCATATTATTACATACAGTACTATAGGGGTTGTTTTTGTAGTACTTGTGAGTTGATCAGTTACTGTACATTGGGTGAGGAGACATGTTCCATTGGAGACACCTGTCTTGGTGACAACTGCCAACGGTGGAATTTTCCTGTGGTCCAGACCAATATGCTACCTGTCCAGCTATGTCACAAGCCCAGTCTGATACAAACCTCCTTCACATAGTTGCCGATAAGCTCTGTTTAATGTATTGTGGCCACATTGAGGCCAAGCACCAACTGTAACTAAACATTTTAATATATTGTAGCCTAAAAAAATACAACATACAAGAATGTGAATGCAGTATAAGGCCTCGTTCACAAAGGCATACTAAGCATATTGTATGTCTATGTGAAGGGTTGTGTTTGCTTGCATGGAATGCACAGGTGTTCTGTACATCCACATGAACATAGTCCTATTCATGTGTATTGGGATGTAATGGCTACATAGACACAGCTGCTGCTCCCAATTTGACATCCATATGGGTGTGGTTGTGTGACACATGAATCTTAAATTGTGAACTGTGCAGCCTCTACATCCCAGTAGACATGAATGGGACTGCCTACATATGGATGTCTTTGCATCCCATGCTGGCAAGCATAGCCCTTTGCACGGATGTCTCCTTAACCCCTTCACACCTAAGGGTAAAACAAATCTAAATGTCTAAGCACAATTTTTCAACGTTGACATGTGTTAGTAAAACCGTACATATCATCACAACTACTTTGTATATCCAGGTGAATTATACCTTGTTGTTTTCAGGGCAAATTGGGCTTTCATTTGGTGGTTAATGGTAATGGATATCTCCTGATTTTTTTTTATTATCAAAGGAAAATTGGACCAAAATAGTAAAAAAAATATATATTTTTTAATTTAGCTGTGTGTTTCTTGTTACTACCATAACCTACCACCAAAGAACAACCCAAAATAAATTCTCCAGCTCTTGACGATCACAGCGATACCATATATGTGTATTTGTTGTTTGTACCCCTAGTACAGCCCAGAAACAATAGTGCACATTTTGTGTTTGTCTTTTTTTTTAACCTAAAACACACTGACACTGACACTAACTGACAATGATACCAACTTTTTTTTAAAACCTAACCTTTGACCTTGATCTTTAACCCTGACCTTGACCCAAACACTTACCCTGGCACTGAAGTAGATCAAACCTTGTTCTAGGTATTTTATCTTAATTTTTTCTTATATTTTTTACTATTTATTTATTTTTTATTAATAAACATTTCCCCCCCCCCCCCCCCCATGCTAGGAGTTAGAGAGATACAATGTATCTCTTTCCTCCATTCATAGAGAGAAAAAAAAACAAGGGGGCCGAGCTGTACAGTGACTGATCAACATGATAGTCAATCAGAGGCTATCACAGAGATCATGTGACCCAGAATTGGGAGTCCTGGGTCCCGATTGTTAGAACGGGACCCGGTGCTCTCATTGACACTGCGGTCTCTGTGCTGGGAGCACGCTGTGCTATCCAGGTGGGGGGGGGTGCTCCACTGCCAGAACACTCCAGTCAGTGCTCTCAGCTAGTGGCTGAGAGAGCTGACCGGGAGCCAATCAGTAGAGTTTTTTTGGTCATGCCCCTTCAACAGGCTGACTTCTGCTGGACTAGCTGCTACACACATGGGCCAAATGTTCAATAGAAACTGGCTGATGTCGCTTGATATTTGACCCATATGTACTAGGCTTTAGTAGTAAGGTTTATTTTGATGTTTCGACAAGGCACATGCTTGTCTTCCTCAGGACAATTCTGCATTTAGATTGTAAGTGCAGGTTGTTTGCTTTTCATACCCAAAAGGTTTATTATCCTATATACTACCCTCATCTTCCTATATCTAATATATATATTTTTTTAGGATATACATAGGATAAATATATTTTTGTAAAAAAAAAAAAATTGGAGTTTTTCTTTCAGCCTGATATAGAGATTGCATGATCAAAATAATATTATAAGAAGTTCAATAGTTTATGAGGGAAAGGCTTACCTTGAAAGTAAAATAATAAAATTGGATGTTGGACTAGAAAATGGCTTCTGCATTGGAAGAGTTATTATTTATATTTTATATATATAATTGTATTATTTATAATATTTGATATTATTTCAGCTTGGCTTCTCTTTTCCTGTAAGCATAGAATTGTGCTCTTTTCCTCTAAGCCCAGAAGTTTGCATTTAGAATGACTGACTTCCTAATGCACTAGTACAGTAGATGCCATTAGACTTACACTGCGGCGCACCACAATGCACTAGGTACCCAGTGCTGGATGATTAAGTGACTGCGACTTGCTTTGTGGTGCACTACATTAAAATGAAGGCACAGGTCTGTTTTTTTTTTTTTGTAATACATTGGCAGCTCATTCTTTAAGAATTGATTGCCTGAGTGCAACACAAGGTAACTTATATGTGGCAATGCACCATAATGGAACAGCATAGCGTGAAGAAGACTTTAATGTTTTGAACTGCACTGCTGACCATGTGATATGTGGACTGCATTTGGAGTTACAGCTGACAGCTCCTTGCAAAGGGACCACTTACCATTCAATCATTTAAAATATGAAGACTTAAATATATACAACATAGAATACATGCTGATCCAGGCTTGAAGGGCCTTGTTCAGACTTGTTATAAGGTGACAACGCTCTGTCATTGTCTCCACAGTGTGCTCCTGCAGTGTCACCCTGTCACATGCACCCCTGATAAAGACTGCAGGCAGCCATGCCGACACACATTGAGGAGGAAAATTTCAACATTGTCACTAGCAGGAAGCTGGTCCAGATCAGTAATGTAAAGCTGATGAGTGAGCAGGTGCATTTAGTCATAAAGAGGCTAAAAGACTGAAGGAGGCCAGCAACACTGAGTTGCAAAAATGGATGCAAAAAGGATAGAACTGCATTGTATTTTTTAAAAAAAAAAAAATTTTGTTTCCTTTATCACATCTATATCAATTCAAACCCTATTTCAAGGTAGTTGTCTTTGCTCATCATCTCTTTTTAAGAAGTTTCCCTTTCCACTTGCTACTCCACTGGACTCAGTTTTCCCATACATATGGTATATGAATTTTTAAAGGTTGCCTGCTTGAGACAGGATTCTTACCTTGGGCCTTTAGGTTATACAGCCTATTTGCTTTGCCACCATCTTTAGTTTCTAATAAATTCATAGTCTGACTATTGGTTCAGCATCCTCACCTTCCATATCTCTCCGTAGCATGGTGGAGCTTAGGTACAAATATTTACTCTGCACTCAAGACATATGAAATGTAGGTAATGGCTATGTTCTTCTGTGCTTGTTGTCATAGATAAAATCCAATTCTTGGCCCGGTACATCAGATGAGGTCTATTGAGGCCATAAATCAAATTCACTGCAGCAAAGGTGTCATTTGTGACCAAGCATCATGGGGTCAGATGTAGCACTACGGAGATGATTACTTAACCTTGAAGCATGCCTCCATGACTTGACATGAGGTTAAAGCACAACGTTGTGTCTCAGTGACCGTGACAAATAGTAAAGCTTCCAGTGCTACAGGGCCACAAGAATCTGATTTCATAGCTATTTTGGTAATGAGTTTTTGTTTAATTCAATTACACATGGACCTGAGCCAGAAAGCTCTTCTGCAGTGTCTGGCTGTCATAAATTGTGTTGGATGGGTTTTAAGGATCTTGCCAAATAGTAACCAACTACCTAATGTTCTTCCTGGAAAAAAGAACAGTTATTTGTATCGAGCTGGACTGGACATGTCACAAAGTGTTTTCCTATAGAGGACATCTGGCCGTGTTTTCTCCACCTGCACATCTCTGCCTCTTTGTGGGCTGTAAAATTTTCCCTGTTCACACCTTTATGCTCAGTTGCCTTACACTCTACACACAGGGCTCAAAAAAGTACATGAGCTTTCCTTTTGAGTGTATTCAAGCATTTTTGCCCCCATAAACCTCAATGGGTGCACCTGTTAATGCGCAACACATGTGCTTGCATGCACTTTTGTGCACTTTTACACCTGAAACTACTCTCCTTCACTAGGATAGCTCTCCTCCCCTTACCCAGCTCAGGAAACAAACATCTGAAACTTTATACACTTTCACAAAACTTGTAAAATGCCTGAAAAAAGGCATCACAATTACAAAATTCTCTCCAGTGCCCTCCACTCGGGCAGCACAGTGGCTAAATGGTTAGCATTTCCACCTGGTAGTACCAAAGTCGTTGGTTCAAATCCCGACCATGGCACCACCTGCTTGGAGTTTGCATGTTCTCCCTGTGCCTGCATGGGTTTCCTCTGGGTACTCCAGTTTCCTCCCACACTCCAAAGAGATGCTGGTAGGTTAATTGGATCCTGTCTACATTGGCCCTAGTATGTGTATGTATGAATGTGAGTTAGGGACCTTTAGATTGTACGCCCTTTCAGGGTTAGGGACTGATGTGAATGTACAAAATATATGTAAAGCTCTTTGTAAATTAACAGCGCTATATAAGTACCTGTCATAAATAAATAATAAATACAATAAGTAGGGAGTGTGAGCTTTGCTGAGTGGAAGGTTGTAGCTCTGACTGTACAAGTTGAAAACCCCATCAAAATATTCCTATTAAGGCAGAATACTGTTCTTTTATCCAAAACCTGTCCAAGGCAGGTCAATACATTTTATTATAAGCAGATAATTAGGCTGCAGCTCTCTCAAAGTCACATTCTTGGGCTGAGCAAAACATTTAGAGAAAGGATCCCTCACTCATACACTTGTGTTGAAAGGGAAGGAAATTTTAACAAAATAGGTCATTGTCCAAATGATTAAGTGGGGGTAACTGTAATTTGCAGTTTACTAAACAGGTTAGGATGACAAAAAAACATGTATACACTGCAAAAATAATAAAAGCTGCACAAACATGGACTCTTCAAAGCAATGTCTTTATGATTCAATCAGGGTTACACATTGCAGTAAAACACAA